ATAAAATTTGAAAGGTGGATTTATCTCATAAACCACGGATACATTTGTTGGAATGAAATTTTAGTATGACAAAAAAAGTTGGAATAAAAATAAAACCTTTTAAAAGGCATCATTTCATTTCACTTCCCTAATGTATTTTATGAAAGAAATTTTCTATAATTTATTTAAAATTATTTGGAATAAGATTTTCAAAAAAAAAGAACATGAAATATTGACAGGTATATATTGACAGGTATTTTTTAAAATATTATTTATTGATAAGCAATAACTCATAATCCATGCATTATCTTCATAACTTCATTGATGTGAAATATATTAAACTTAGTAATAGGAAAAAAAAGTAAATAAAACTTTAATGGAAGTTAATTGAAAGAAGAATATCGGAAAGAGGAAGAGAGGTACTTAAGAGTTTTTGTGGATGAAAGGGACACATTGATTTTCAATTCCTTTCTTTTTCATAAAATTTCCTGATGAGATGAAGAGAAAAGCAAGTAAAATTCTATTTGCAATTATTGTCGCATGGTTTGTCACACGATGATTCATTCCATTGCTATTATGTATGAAAAATTTGCTTTTGAATATAATTATATTGTTTATTCAATCATTTCATCTTGTTTATTTATTTATTTATTTTTCATTATCCATTCATCTGTTAAATGATAATTGCTAAAACATTTCTTTCTCATTTTCTTATCAAATAATTAGTACCAAAAAGTGCAATTTAATTTAACAAATAGTATTTAATTAAAAATATTTCAAAGATTACAAATTTAATTAAAATTTTGCATTTCATTTTCTTTTGCTAAACATAAAAAAGCAATTATATGGAAGTATAAATCATATTTCAGAGCTCACTAAATTATTTAAAATATATTATTTATTAAAAATTTAAAATCAGCCATAAGCTTATCGATTATATTGTATCATTCGTATGCTATCGACCTAGCTAGGAATATCTTCTCTTTCATCTGCAACTTAATGATTAAATATCTTCATATTCCAGCTATAACATTTCCGTTATAATCCATTATATGAATATGTTAGTTAGATTAGCATACTACTTGTATTTGAAATTTGAATGGTCATTTTAGACATTATTTACTTTCTGAAATTTGAAAGTTCATTTAGGGTATAATGGAAATACATTTAGCGATTTCTGAAAGTCTTTCAAAAGAGAATATCTAAAAATCCGAAATAATTGTATTATTTTGATGAATGAATTCTTTTTTAATTTAACAATGCAATAATCAGTAGTTTTTTTGTTTTTATTTTATAATTATTAATTATTTTGTTAATTACTTCTTTTTCTTTTTATCTAAAATTTCATTTACTTTCAAATATATATAGATAGATAGATAGATAGATAGATATTTTATTATTATTAATTCCTTATATTATTCATTCTTCCTTCTTCCATCTTTTAAATTCACAATGCTTTCCAATCATTTAATATGCTGAATACATATGCTTTTGTTTAAGCAAATGTATTTCATATAAAATTTCATGTTATTTGAATTTTAAATAGGATAAACAACCGATCAATAGAAATGCTTTTAAAGCAAAAGTTTTGTTGAAGTGAGAAAAAAGGGAAGAAAAAGAAAAGACACACAAAAGAAGTGCAATTTGAATGTGAAAGGAAAAAATATTGAAATGGCATGGAAATTTCGTGGAAATGCTGAATTCGATTTAAACGCTGGCCGTAATGCATTCCGGTCAGATGCAACAATTCCTGATGATTGGGAGAGTGCTGGTAAGTGAGAAAACAGATATTTATTATTTATTATTATCCTAATGGTCAAAAATTATAATTAACCTTATATTTTGGGTTATATCAAATTTTCTAATAGTATTTTTTGGCTAATTGTAATAATATTAATAATTGAAAAAATTTGTTTTTTTTTTGAGAATTTTTCAAATTTTTAATCATATTATTCAAAATTCCAATAAATTAATAATAGATTTTTATGAATCTTTCTGGATTCTTATTATCATCTGCTATGAATCTTTCTGGATTCTTATTATCATCTATTATGAATCTTTCTACATTTTTATCAAATTATTAAAGCTCTAAAATAATCTCAATTAACTAGGACAAATGATTAGAGGTGAAATTGGTCTTTAACAAAGTTCAAAAAGTAAAAAAAAACCTATAGATATTATTTTAGCATAAAATAATATTCATTTATTTAGAATTACTTGTTGTTTTACGTCAATTCTTTTTAAAGAAAAAGAAAAGATGATCGATCGGTTAAATTATCTTTAATTCACTTAACAAAATATACTTCATTATCTTCTCACATAATGCAAAGATTTCATTTTATACTAAGTAAAAATAAGCTTGCAAATAAAATGAAGCCAGTCATAGCCTAAACTATAACTTCTTTGCCATGTCGCTTAATTTCACATCTAAGAAATCGATTTTCAAACTAATGCGAAATGGCATATAAAATATGGACTATAATTATTTCGACAATCTCAGCTTCCAATTTCTTACTTTTTTTCTTTATAAATAAAAATAAATGAATGAAAAGTGAATAGTTAAGTGGAAGAATTGTTCAGGTGAAAGGTGAAAGGTGAAAGAAACAATGAGAAATAACGGGAATTAAGGAAGTGTGATATTAAGTATTTGTGTAAAATACTAAAATTGGAATTCTAAAGTTATAGAAAAGTTAAAATTTCTTTTAGCTTATCTATAACTTCAGAATTCCAATTTTCCCTGGAAGTTTTTTTTTGGTATGTGTGTATGAGTTATTGTTTATAATATATTGATTATGTATTATAGTGTTAAATTGAGTTTAACATTTTGTTATGAATGTGAATAGGTATGGTCCATACCTGCCTGTTCATACTCATAATAGTTAAGTTTGAACAAGTTATCATATGTTAGTAGATTCATGGCAGACATTTTTAATTCGAAGATCGATGATTCGATGATAATGTAAATCATTTCCGCATCTAATGCAAAGTTAAGCTATGGTAAATTGATATATAAAGTAAAATAAAATCGAAAAAATTTTTGTAGACAATGAAACAATGATACGTCGTAACTCAGCGATTTTATCATTTACGGAATCGGTTGATGCAGATTTTCCACCAGCTCCGGAATTACCACCATCATTAAATATTGATTTATGTTATCCAGACGAAACAATGAAAAGAAGTGAAACTGCTGAGACAATTATTGAGGTTAGTTGTTATTAAGTTGATTATACTTAATATTGATTAAAATGATATGTTAGATAAACAGTGAATTTTGAATCAAAAAAATTTGTAGTAGATAAACAAATGATCAATAATGATGATAATGATATGATATTTCAGAGGAAACCTAAACAAACGTTACAAGAAATAGTTAGTGGTACTCAAAAATATCCTATGATGGTACTTGGTCCAGGTCATGTTGATGAAGAACAAGAACTTCATGCTAGTCTGTTACATCAGGATGATGAAGGCTCCGAGAGTGATGTTGAAATTAGTAGCTTTGAAGGGAAACAATCTTCAAATATAACTACTGAAAAAGCTCGGGCTACCTTAATTTTTCAAAATAAAAGAGTTGTTAAGATCAATGAAAGTCATTAGGAAATTTTCGTTTGCAGACATTTCAATAACACTATCCTTTGAATCTTCAAATGATTCACTATTACTATCAATTTTAAATTAAAAAAATATTAAATTTAACAATATCAACCATAACAGCTAACTTTTAATGCATAAAATATTTGAAAATTTGTAGCAAAAGTTAATCGTTGAGGATTTCAATCATTCATTTATAGAATGACAGCCCTAATTAGTGGCATCTAATTAATAATTAAAATAAATTCTAATAATTGCGCTTTAATTTTTCATCTCTAGAAATGTTTCTTTCTTTAGCAGGAGCAGCAAAAAAGACGAGAACGTAATGAAGCATTACGTCGTGAATATTCGATATCGACATTGGAACGACCACGACCAATTACACCAACATCATGGTGTGTTATTGAGAATTACGTAGAAGGTTCCACTGAAGGTAATGATGAACCACCACCAATTGCAACAAAAAAGCAGAAGATCCATGTCAGCATACCCAATCATAGTATACCACAAAGTATGTCAGAAATTTATCCATCGACGAATTTCAGATGATTACAGTAAAAGAGCAATTACAATTTCTATTTTACTACTCTAAAAGTTGACATTAATTGATATTAATCCATTGATTAACAAATTCATTAATTAACCAATAAATGTATATTTTGCAGAAGGACTAAAAAAATAAACAGCATTAAGTTTATGTAATGTACCGTTAAAATGAATAATCTATTTTGATGCGATCTGAATTTTGTAGTAAAAATGGAAATTGCATTATAACTAATATAGAATTATGATATTTTTCATCTGTTTAGGGTAAGTACATGTTTTCTTTGTTTGGTATTTGAATGATACGAGAAGTATATGGAATTATTTCATTAATATTAAAGTAATTTCAGCACCAAAACGTCGTCGATCATCCATGTCGTGGTCTGATTTTTATGAAGCTATGTCAATGCAGGCATCATCTCAAGTATTTCTTCATTTAACTTTTGTAAAATTTACTGTAAATCTACACTTGGAAATAAGTAAAATTGTTCGGCGTTTATTTTCAATAATATTTTAATAGGCTCGAAGATCAATATCTGGTCGTACTACACCACTACATGATTATGATGGTGATATATTGGAGGAAGATCCAAGATATCGAAATGTTGCACCACCAAAACCAGTCATTCATCGTCGTTCTTCTACCGAATGGGAAAATTTCATGGATAATGGTAATAATTTTAATCAATAATTTTCTGAGAGAAAATAAAAGTTTCACTTTTTTGATTATATAAATTTTGTCGGTATATTTTAATTAAATTTCATACTTCCTTTATGAATCATTCAGAGATTATTCGAAATTACCCTCGTATTTTTGCTATTTATCTAGCATTTTGTTGTTTATGTTTATATATCAAAAATTTGAACAAAAATTATTGGACTGCAATATTTCTTCCACTTCTTTCATTTTAATAAATCAATGGTCAAATTAATCCATTTTAATAAATGGTCAAATCGTTAAATCTTTCATTTTAATAAATCAATGGTCACTCAAATTATACATTTTTAACTTTATCAATTTTCTGTGCTTAACAAATATTTTCATTCGTAATTCGTAGCATAATAAATTATATGCAAAAATAGCATATATCAATCGTTTGTTTATTTATTTCTTTGTTTAGTTATTTGTTTTTTTTTTGCTTACATATTTATATGTTTATTATTTTTCTAATCGATAATTTATATGACGACTCATTAATTTATTTTTTGCAAATTACAATGTTTTAAGTAATTTAAATAAAAAATATATCACATAGAATAGAAACAATAATTTATTAACTTTCCCTATTAAATTTTCTTTTGTTCTATTATTTTAGTAAAGAAAGATAAAAGTTTGATTCTTTTATTGTTCAATTTTTAAATAATCCATTTTAGTCTTTTTTCTCAGAAAACAATTCACTTTTACTAAAATAGAATAGAAAGTTAATAATCGCAAGAATCTTTCATAATCTTAAAACTACGAAATACTTCCCGCTATTACGAAATTCCGATGAAAGTTAAGTTAAGATTGGTAGTGGGATAAGAATATCTCCTCAAAAGTATAAATCAATATAAAGGAGGATGTAAGACATTTGGGATGAGGCTGTAATATATGTATGTGATGTATATGTGTATGTGTGTGCGTGTGTGCATGTCGACGACCAATGCTGTTTGATAGATTAGGTGACTTTTTAATGAATACTAAAATCTCGTATATATGCATATTTGTGTATCTGTATGTGTATATGCGTGCATGCGTGTGCGTGTGTGTGTGCATATATATGTATGTGTGTGTATGGTTCTTTTATGATTTCATAATTCACTATGCTTTAAATTTTATAAAAAGCTTTTAAGCTAACCGAATAAGCTTTAGGAGGGATACTTATCAATTCTCTAAGGCCTTTAATCGTACTTTGATAAAACCCACTTATGCTATTGATTTTGGAACAATCTTACATATGTAAAAAATAAGGAAAGCATACATTAACATGTTGCATATTCTTTCATCCTTTATAATATACAACTTAGAATGCTTATGTATTTTTTTTACAAATTTTTCCTCTTTTTCCTTCTGTTTAAAATTTTTCAATTTTTTGAAATCGTTTGAAAGATTTGTTTGCCTTAAAATGTTATGAGAGAACAAAAAAAAATAAGAATATTTAAAAGAAGGAAGAAATGACAAATATCTGTCAATAAAAAGTAAAATGAAGTAGAGAGTATAATTATTCCAAGAGAACGGAAGGATGCAAACAATTTCATTCTTTCATATATGATATAAACAAAACCGTATAAAATATTTGTTTTATTATCAATTATCGACCATAAAATAAAAAAAGAAGATATATGAAGGAGATATTTATCTGATCGTTTTCTATTAGAAAATTATGATTATCTATTTTTTTTCTATGGTTAGAATGGTTTCGGACAAATATCTCTTTCTCCTCCAATATTTATTATCTTCAATATTCTTTCATATAATTATTGATTGATTGATTTTCTCTTTAAAATTATTTCATTCAAATCTTACCGCAAAACTTTTTCAAATTATCCAAATTATGCCCTCTACCTATTTATTTTGTTTGTTTTAGCTTGGAATAAATATGTATTTCACTTATTTCTTGTCCCATTTATAATTTCATAAAATGAACTCAGTCAGGCTTTTTATTTAACTAAATTTACATAATTCAATTTAGCATATCGGAAATTAATTACGCTAAGTTTGCTTCAATGATTTGTATCGAAAATCGTTAGCCAAAGAGGAATATTTTTTTGCTGACAATTGTTAATTTAATTATTTCATTTAGAAAATTTCCACGTCATTTCTTCATATGTATTATACATGTATATATATATATATATATATATATATATAAATGTATTGCTGAAATGAAAGCTAAAGATATATTTTTGAAGCTTCTTGAAAATTCAACCATTTTGACAATTACTTTTTAATGTATGGGAATTTTTTACTTCTGTTGCAGCACAATCGGAAATATTGAAGTTTGCTGAAAGAAACGAAATGAGCAAATCGAATATTACAGTAAGACATAATGTTTTTTGTTTTTCCTTCAGAAATATTATAAGTTTATAATAAATTAAAATTGAAAATCATTCAACAATTTATTATTCAAACTTTTACATAATAATTTAATTTGCTATTAATTGTCATCAAATCATTAACTTAACGTTTCTTTTTTTTTTTCAAATAGCAAAGAAAATGAAATAATTTCTTATTAAAATTTCTATAACTAAAGAAAATAATAAAAGAAATAAGTAAATAATAAATAAGAATTTATTAATGTTAATTAATGTTAATTAATAAATTCTTATTTATTATTTACTTATTTCTTTTATTATTTTCTTATTCATTAAGAAATATATTCCTTTCTATTGGCCCAAGCCACGTCGATTTCAAAATAGAGCCTTGCTATCTTATGATTTGTTCATGTAGATTTCAAAGTATGGATTAATATGTATTATTGATATGGAAATCTATCATCATGTATGGTTGAGTCTTTTTCCTTTGGAAAAATATCGATGGAGTGGTCTTTTTTTAGAGTTTGAAATAGGCCATTCATTATATTCCTTAGGGTCGGTCCTATGAGTTAGAATGTTAAATCTCACGCCATTTTTGTTTATCTCTTCCCGATTTCATAGATTTCATAGGTACGGCTCGTTCGTTCGTTACAAATGAAATGAAGAAAAGACGAAAGAAATTTTTATACTAAAAAAAATAATTCTCAATAAGATCAATTTATGGAAGTTTCATTTTCATAGCATTAAATTCATTGCTAATTATTAAAATAATATAAATACTGTTTTTACCATAATTTATTTTTCGTTTTTTAATATAATATTTTTCAAACATTTCTTCCTTATACGACTACGTTATTGCTATTATTATCATTTTTATTATGAAACAAATAATTTATTTTCAACTTTTGCCGATTTTACTAAGCTGTTCAGAGAGTAAATAATTGCTGACACACTAAGTGCACTTAAGGTCATAGTGTAATCATTCCCTTTTTTGAACTCAAAAGTTCGTTTCATTTCATTTACAACAATGAAGCAAAGCATTCATCATTTCTCCTGGTTCATTCGAAGTAATTTTCATAAAATGCTAGCACATTTTTCAAAAAAAAGATTACGTACTTCATTTTTTATAAACTTCTCGAAATCAAAAAACCGAAAATATTTACTTATCCGATAAGAATTATAAACTCCAGTGGATTAAAATTATTTCAGAATTTAAAATTTCCGATGTTATAACTTTTATGGCTTTAATTCGATTTAATATTCAATAAATTCATCATTTTGAAAAGTTCATCAAAATAAGTTCGATAAGCCTATCATTTTGATTATGAATTATTTACACTTGTAATTGATGCATGTAATTTACATTTACATTTTTTTTCCTTTATTGCTTATATGATGAAATGATGATCGAATATTGAAGACAAATAATGGTGATAAAGAGATGATAGCAAGTAAAATACATTCATTTGATAATCAAACGATATCAGATGATCAGATGATTCCACCAAATGCTACAGGACCAATGGAATCTTCCGAAGATACCGAAAATGACAGACAGGTTGTTGCTCATATTTCATAGTTTGATAGACTCAATGATAAGATTTTATCAATCAATATAATGATGAATGAGATTTCTAAACTCTCTTATATATGAATGAAATATTTAAATCCTTTTCATAATTATTTAAACAAATATATGAATCGAAAAAAACAGACTTGTTTTATAAATATTAAAATTTTATCGTCCTTTTAATTTATTTATATTCTATCATTTTCTATATATTTTTTGACATTAGTATTTTATATTTTATATATATTAGTATTTTATATTTTATTGTCTTTTTATGATTTTGTAAAAGCCAAAGGAATAAAGACAAGTGGATAATTATTTTGGGACAATTCCAATTAAGCCTACTTAGACTGGACTTAGCTGAATTTTCTTCAATAGTGAGCAAATACAAATAATGGCAGAAATATTGATAATAGAATCGGATGAATAATGATAGGATGAAAATAAATGGAACAATAAGCAAATTTAAAAGTTTTTTTAATGAAATAATATAATTAGATTAATTTCACATATACCTTTTTGATTTGATAAATATAATATAGTAAATTTTTACAACACTTGAAGAGTTTTCAGTAAAATTTAATTTATTCGTATAATATCTCAAAATTACTTATGAAACGGTGCACTATAAAATATCATGCAATATTCATATTTCCTATTTAAAATAAAATATCATGAAATATTCATATTAATAAAATATCATGAAATATTCATATTTCCTATTTTAGACTTTCACATCTTTCACTGATACCCGTGGTAGAGATGAACCAGAAACTTCCTCACTAATACAAGCATCAGGTATTTTTATTTATTTTTATCAATGCAAAATAAACGTGGAAGTTTAAGTAATCTTTTAATTTCAAAAGCTACATTTGATTATCAGTTAAAAAACTATTTAAGGAAATTAAACTTAAAATTAAAGCATATGAACAGTTTGTCTCATTCAACTGTTAAACTTTGCAGTGTAATGCTTGCATGATTCGTAACTTTTTAAAATTAATTAATAAAATTGTTTGACTTTAAATATTTTATTTTTGATATTTCCGTAAATCTAGTGTGACACATATCTTTATTCGATGAAATAGCTTGCTCTATGTAGGGAACGTGGCAAAATAAATTAGTTTAGCGTAAATTTATTTGACGTTTGTTTGGCAGTTAATAACGAAAGCAATGCAGTTAAAAGATCGAGTAATTCTCTTTATCCCATTTTTAAAGTCGTAGTAACCGATATAGATTGTAACCTCGATTACTTCTTGTAAGCTTATCTGATAATTACCATCTTCTATTTAAGCATCATTTCACAATGGTTAACGCTTACTTTTAACGCAGCTAATAATCCAATCTTCCATCTTTTAAATTTCGTTACTGTGATAAAACCTATGGAAGTATTTGCTTTTTAAATGATTTATAAAGATCACATTAAATACCATTTTTTTCATCAACCTATTTGTATGACAGAAATGAAAGTTTTTCTGTTTAGGTTCAGGTCGATCAGAAATTTTTGAGCCAAAGGAAAAAGCCATGACGGCACGAAAGAAAAGTACTGCAAGCAATGATATTAATGTGGAACGAAAAGAATCGACCAGTATTAGTGAAAAGGCTAGCGTTGATTCACCAAATCATTTATATGATATACAACAGCATCATGTTATTCCTGAAACGGAATCAACGGTAAATTATGATACAAATTCATATTATGAAAATGCGGAAGGGCAGATTACCGATACGGCTGAAGCGACAAATTTTAAACAGACAGGCATGGTTCTGCATTGTATATTACATATTTAAATCGCATGCATTTGATTGATTTAGTTTCAAATTACGTAACTGTATTGATAATTCATGATATTATATCCGGAAATTTTAATTTCTAATGAATTCATTACACCTTATATAATTATTATTGATTTAGGAGTAATAGTAATTTTCTCCTACTGTATTGAAACTTATCTCTAAGGGAGAAAAAATTTGATAAACTCTTACTAAGTTTTTGATAAAAAAAAAAAATTTGATAAACTGTTACTATTCTGGATGCAAAAATTTTCGAAATTTAACTTCATTTTATTCTATTATTTTGATTTGCTGATTCAATATAGCATTAGATATGTGAAAGCAATGACATTTTATGATTTTAGACAATAGTACGTTTTATCAGCAAGGAACGGAACACGAACAATATGATTATTCTTACCATGAACCACAGACTCAAAGCTATGATGAAGTGCAGAACATAAATTACAGTTATCGTACCACACCGTATCAAAATTATGAACAACAGCAGCAGCAGAATGAAGTTCCTGCGAATTATCAAAATTATGATCAAATGAATTATGCAACAACGTATCAGAGTTATGATCAACAATTAGCCATGAGTCAAGATTATGCACAACAACCGATAGCAATGCAGAATTACGATCAGCAACCTACCGAATTATCTGATTACGGTACTTCGCAGTATGATCAATCACAAGGATATAATTATAATAGCTACGATGTTTGCACGTCATCTTATGTACCAACAGCAAATAATCAAAATTATGCTAGTCAAACCGGTTCGGAAATCTATCCAGGTGAAATATTCAAATTCAATAACATACATAAAAAGATAAGATTTATGGCATTAAGCATTCTAAACAAATTAGTTGATAATTATTGAAAAACGTTTAGGTATTGTTAAAGAAACAAGCAACGATTACGGTACGCAGTACAATCAACAATATACTGCAGAAAATCCTCCTGTGTCTATCCATAGCGATGATTATCGATCTCCCGTGATACCGCAATACATTACACCATTGTTTCCAGCCGTAATCAGGCACCTTTTTTCACAAAAATTTCTTTTTCCATAAGCAAAGCTTGTATAATACAATAGCAATGATCGGATAACGTGTTGGAATAGTTTCAAATGGTAAAAAATAAAATGAAGTTAGCGAATAATTTTTAGCTTGTTTTTTTTCCAGCTCGGAATTGAATCCATTTTCCTGGGAAGCGCAAGAGAGAGCAGTAGCTACGACGGCCACAGAACCGATATCACAATACGTTACGCAATTATCACGACCGATTTCTGCCGAAACATATCAACAAAAGTCTGTAAAGCTTTTTTTGCATCATTCAACATAAAATTTAATTTAAGCATACCTGAGCAAATTTTTCTTTCCTTGATAATACAATGTTAGATAATTTCGAATATTGCTGACCATTCATTGCTATACTTGAATGGCCAAATTTAATCTTAATTTAATCCTACTCTATTGAAGTTGATTTTAAATAAAAATTAACTTGATTCATATCCAATAATTAATTTCTCTGAATATTCAAAATTTTTGATAGCACCAAAATTTACAAGTGTTTTGCACTTTTTTATTCCAAAAAGTAATCAGATATCAACGTTTTTGTATTATTTACAATTTTTCTAGGAATCTCTTTTTTCTAGAGAAGTACCAATGGGAAGTGACAGCGACGTTCAAAATGCTGAAGAAATGAAGCGAAAATGTAAATAATATCAACAAATACAGTATTTTAATTTATATTATGAATCATCATATCAATTTTTGGAGAAGTAATGATGAAATATTTTTGCCATTCAAGCGTTTTTTTGAATCAAGTGATATATTTCATTTTACCAACATTGATTTATTCATCGAATTCCATTCCACAAAGTTGAAATATTCATTAAATTTAATATTAAATAAAAAAGTTACTATGCATGGGATAATAATAGGTTTCATTTGTTTTTAGCGCCCTTACGACCTGCTCCACCATCGCCATCCGTTGAACGCTCAATACCACCAACGCGACCTCCAATGCCACTTTCACCAAATCTGAAATATTCCACCGAACCACCATCATTGCATCAGAAATCATCGTCTAAATTAGCGGAATCAGAATCAGAAGATGCATGGGCGCAGTTTAAAAAATTAACAGAAAGAGCTACAACAGCAGTGAAGTCAAGTGAAGAAATGATGAAAGAATTGGAAAAAACGACAGTTGCCAAAGATATTAAAGATGAAAGTTACCTCGCTCAAATTGGGTATATTTTACTGAAATGGAAAGGAAAGATAAATGAATGATAAATGTTGTAATGTCTTCGAATTTGATCATATTCGATTACATTCAATGTTTAGTGATTGTTTGATTAAATGATTAGTAAGATACAGTAAAATTCTCGGATAATTAAGTACTCGTAGCATTTATAATTAAATCGTCGACTTTATTAGCAAATTATTCTTGCATGATTATGATGAAAATGGAAAAGTTTGCAGTGGTTCTCAAGCATACATACCTGAGCAGGCCTATAAGCAAGCACGAGAGCAAAAAACATTAATCGCGCCGGCAAAAGAGAAAAAGATGAAGCATGGAAAATCGAAAAAAATGCCAAAACCGGAATTGACATTAGCACAAGAAGACGATATGGATCGAGCTGCTATGGAGCTTGCCAAAAAGATGGCTGCCACAAGAGTTGATCTGCAGGTTGAAATAAGTCATTAAATTTGTTTTATTATATATTCATCTCCTATTTGTTGTAGGAATGATAATATATTTATAAACATGTATCCATGGCTGTTTGGCTATTTTCCTGACTTTAAGATGATTTATTAAGGAAAATCAAAATCCTGAAGAACCTTGAATCTTGAAAATAAAAAACGTTGCGTGTAGTTTAAAATGCGGGCCTAAACTTTAAGTAAAAATTTATGATATTGAGATGAAAATGTCGAAATACATATATGTTAGCACTACATATCGTTGATCTGTCTAAGCCTGTTTTTCAGTTCACAGAATTCAAAGTCATGATTGCTTTATTATTCAAATCTTGATATCAAATGATCTATTAAATTCAATCACCAATGAAAACATAATGATATTCATCATTTTACATGCACTTGAATTTGTTTATCCGAACAATAATTATTTATTTGTTTTCTGATTTCTAATCAACCAATTCCTTCGAATTTTTCTTTGGTTTCCTGAAGCTGAGAAAAAACACGACATTGTAAAAGACAAATAATCAAATTGCACAGCGAATAATTCAACACTTGCAGGATTGGAAGCCACCAGCAGGACAACAAGGCCCATCAACTCCTGTCGAGAAATCTCACGAATTTTCTGATGAGACGTTAACATTTTTTTACTCGCTTAATTAAACTAAATTTTCAAACTCACTCATAGTATGCTGATAGTACGCTAGGAAGTGACAATTTAATTGATTAAGTGACAACTTAAATTCATATATTGATCGAGTATTATTGCTTCTATATATTTAACCACCAATGAAAGCATTTATTTAGGAAGCTTATTCCAAAAATTTAGTCTTTAATTTCAGTTCAATGTTGAAAGCTAAACCAACCGACAACGATGTGACAAATGAGAAGACGTCAAACATCCTTAGTGAAACAACCGCCGTGGCAACTTTTAAGTATCTTTATGCAATTTATGTAAAATTCACCATTACTTAGTCTACTGATATTTGATTTCAATTATAGGCCAAGAATTGATTGCTAACGATCTGGAAAATTATATAAGATTATTCACTGATTTAGCCTAAAGTTAAACTCTAATTCTGGATAAGTAAATCCTCACTGCTTTCTTCACTTCTTCATCAATATATCAATTATATTATGATATTTCAGCCAAGAGCCGAACAATTCAACTTGGGCTGGCTTTGATGATTCACAAGCAGGTTTTGAATTACCACCATCTGAATCAGGTTTCTTCGCCAGTGCTTCTGCAGCTCCAGTTTCACCTAAAGAAGCATTTGGTGATTCCATCGCTGTATGTGGGGAAGTAAATAACGATTTAATTGATGAGGTTCTTATGTAACAATACTTTCATTATTTTATAGCAAATAATATGTAATGCTATTTTAAAAAATACCATAATGATATTAATTACTATAATTTATAGGACTATGATCCGTTCAATGTATGTTCAGCGGATGATTTGGTTAAAGAAGCAAAAGCACGAGTTGCTGCAGTAATTGCTGCGGAAGAAACTGAAAAAGATATTAATCTTTTTGCCACTACTACTAAAATAAACCAACAAAAAAGTGACATCAGCTCATCAACCCAAGAAGGTGGTAGTCCAGCTAGTTCACGACCTCTCGGATTTGATGATGAATTTCGAGTGGAAGTTAGTCTTTGTTACATATTTGACACTTTTACTAGTTTAATGTTAGCAATAATTCATATCAACCATTTCAATTTTTTTATTAAAATTTTCTTTTTTATTAAAATTGGTTTAATAGAAAGAATAATTAATAAAAAACATAATCGAATAATTGTCTCATCAACTTCATTCAAATTGGAATAAATGAAAAAATTGACTTTCTGAGATGTATATTTTTTAAAGATTAAATGTTTAATAAATTTTCAGGATGATGCTACTAGTACGCCAAGTCCATTGTACGATGAAGATGATAGTGTGCCATTAACTGATTTCCCATCTAAATTTACCGGTGATGGTTGGGAAATGATGATCCGATATCCTATAAAGAAAAAAATTATGAGTGATCGTTACTGGAAGCCATGTTACGTGAGATTACGTGACAATACCCTTTTTATGTTCAATTCAAAAACTGAACAAAAACCATTCATGGAAATTTTATTACAGGTTTTCAGCTTTTTTTGACCATATGTTCATGAGATGTTTTTATTCTTAACTTTCCTTATAATTTTATTATAAGCTTTATTCCTGCTTGAAAATGTAGAAAATGAATGTGAATTTGAGCAATATATCATTTCTTTGATTTCATCTTATATTATTTACTTGCATTACTTCCACTGCATGTCTTATTGCATAAGTTATCAAATTCATGATTAATTTTAAGTTCACTTGTTCAAATAATAATTAGTTATTCCTTTGACTGTATTCCACTTTAATTGTCACCTTTTTTTTCCTTTTTTTGGCCAATTAGCTTTTTTTAATTGCTAAATGTAAGCAATAAATTCTAAAGAAATTTTTTTAAATATAAAATATATAAGTTTGAAATAATTTTCTA